ATTCAGAGGGTGAGAGGTAGAAGTAGAGATGATAGGAATATCCAGAGCATTTAAATCCTAGCTTGTAATCTCAATCGGGGCAATGTCAGTAGAGAAAATAGTTTCCTGGTTTATATCAACATGTGGAATAGTATGGGGAGAGACAGAAACCCCTCCAATATTAGAGATATCAGGAGGGATACCAGGAGGAATTGAGTCAGGTAACACCTGTTCAATTATACCCTCGACAAGGGTCGTAGGGTTAGAAGGGGGGTGAGACACAGCTGGATCAGCCGGAACAACCAGAACTTTAGGCACTTGCGGTTGTTTCCTCCCATCCTTTTTCCTCAGATCAGGATTCAATTTGAAACATTGATCCTGATCATGCCCAAACATTTGGCAGTTTGTACAATAGGAGGGGTGTTGTTCTAATAATAACTGTTGCCAGTAACCAATACGCTCCGATCCAATCCAAACCTCATCAGGAGGAGGTAATGTAACATCCCGTTCAATTAAAACTCTAGCCATAGGGTCTCGTGAGATTATAAATGGGAGCATCTAATTTTGGAGGTCTCCCGAACATAGCCGCTAGAGAGAAGAATTTCATGATTGAACATATGAGCTTTCAAATAGGGGAATCTAATCCAGACTAGAATAATAAGAGCCTCAGCTTTAGGATCGAAATATGCTGACCATTTTAACTCCTTCATACCGCAGTTCTCAAACCAGACTATATGTTTCGAAAACAGACGCGTACGGTCCTCTTCATTCGCCAGTTGAATCAAAATGCGCCTTCCATCTAGATGACCAATCTTCCAATCTCCCGTAAGCCTCATCAACTCAAAATGTTTTTGAAGAAACTCCAACTTTGGAATCCCATAGATAAACTTCCCTACCAGATGAAGACGGCAGGAAGAGGCGAGTTCGCCGTTCTCGGCATCAGAGAGGACGGTCGGGACGTCGAACGAAAGAAGTGACGGAATCGAGCTCGAGATTATCGTAGAAAGCAGAAGGGAAGTTAGGAACACCATCAGCGGCAACACTAGCATAAGAACGTGTCCTTTTACCGGTCTCACCACGTCCGCTGGCCGACACGCCAACATACGAGCGCGCCATGATGAATGATCATTGGCGTCGCCATAGAATCGCTATCCTTAGCAGAGACGGAGACGGAAACATGACGCTATCTATCATATATATATATATATATATATTAAAAAACCCAAGTGCAATTATATTAAAGAAAAAATAGTATAAATAGGTTGTATGAGTGGGTCCAAAAAGACACCCAACCCACACGGTACAACACACAAAAAAAGAAAAATAAAAATCCAACAATAGATGGTACATATAAGATCAATCGGGAAGACTCAATTTAGTTCTGCCTCTGCCTCTAGTTTTTGGAAGGGAACCAACTAACAAATTGGTTAGGTGCGTACCATTACCCGAAGACCCGAAGTAACCAAAGTATCACCAAAGTATCATCCATTAGATTCCTTAGTTCACGTAGATCTCCATTCTTCTTCCTTCTGAAAGTGTAGACCTGTCATTCATCATCCGAAGATTATTGCTCATTCAAATGATGTGATAGTGCTGCAGTAGAAAGATTGCCAACAGTTGTACTCACAAAAGGTTCAAGTGTGTGTGTGAGGTATGAGCTGTTGCCTCTACTCTTGATACTTCCTGAAGATGAGAAGTTGCAAGGTTCTCATGATTATCAGTCCGTATCAGTAGGGGTCCTTCAGTACTGTTTTCAATAGGGTTTTGCTCTGTAGGGCCATCCAACTTCTCTTCAATCGCAGATCAGACATTAAATCTCGTCTTGTGGTAGTTTTCTCTCCAGGTGGAACAAATATGTTCAGAGCAGTGGGGTTTGATCCATCTTTATTAACTTGATCTTTATATTTCAAATTAGGATGAAACTTATGACATTTATCAAGGATATGCCCAAACATCTTACAATGAGAACAATAAGAAGGTTTATGCTCCATGACGATTTGATGTCAATATCGATTATGAGCTGTGTCCAACCAGACTTCAGTAACATCAGATATAGTAATATCTCTTTTTATAAGTATTCTGGTCACAGAATGTCTGATTAGATTGAAAGTGGGTAGATCTAGCTTTATAGGGTCCCCAAGTATGACCCTAATGGAGTAAAAAACCTCATGATGAAAAAAATGCAGCTTTAGGCCAGGTAGACTAAACCATACCTATATAGTAGGAGGTTGAGACCACTTGAGTCAGTTCATTGATTTACCAGCAATATTAAGATAGTTTTTGGAAAAAATTTGAGTGCAATCTTCAGCCATGGTTAATTGAATCAATACATGTCACCCTTCCATGAACCCCACTTTTTAATTTTCTGCTAATTTGAGGTCATCAAAACTTTTTCTGATAACTTTCATAGGTGGGTGCCCTCACGAAAACTTTTCAATAAGAGCAAACTTGAATTTCTCAGTTAGGATTGAAATTTCTAACTCAGAGAAAAAAAGTGCTGATTGCTCACTTTTCCTGCTTGCATTCTTAATAAATGGGCAGTCACCTGCACCATCACGATACTCTTTATAACTTGAGGGGAAGACGACCGCCGTCTCCACCTGAGAATTACCTACCACATGGGCACTTTCGCTATTCGCTATTCTAAACAAATAGAGACAATTTGTTTTGCAGAATGAGTAACAATTAAATGGTTTGAGTAGTCGTTTATCACATTATGCCTGTTCTTGTTGTCGTCTTGTTTGATCTAATTAATTTATGGATTGTTTGTTAGATTTGTAATGCCTCAACAAACATGTTACGCGTGTAAAGCATATTATGTATGCTTTTTTCATTAATGTACTAACCCATTTTTTGTGTGTTTTTGTAGTGTTTAACTCGAAGAGGCTTTCATGGATGCCATAGGATGAGTCTAGTGAAGAAGTCATAGGGTTAGTGATTATCTTTAGATGTATTGGTCTTTAAGCTCAAGATAGTTGCTATATATGATTTATTTTCTGAGTTAGATTTGTAATTCAATTTTAGATAGGCATGACCTACAGGTATTCGAGTTTGATGCTACACTTGAACAAGGGTAAATGCTCAGGGGATGTGATATTTATGAATTTGTCTTTACATGTTCTTTCACCCTCTCATATTGCACACGGCTATTTTTTTTATCAAGATTCAGTTGAGTAGTTGACTATTATTTAATTAAAATGTGGAGAGTGTAGTCTCTTGAATAACATAGTTGACCAGATCAACTATGTGAATTATGAGATTCAGAAACCAACCACATATGTTGAGAGCTACACGGTGATCAAGACTACTGAGCCATTCTTTTTGCAACCTAATTTAGAAGCTAGTCTCGAAATTCACCATTAGATATGCTTTCTAGTATTATGCGTGGATGTGTGCCAGGGGATAAGTGTATCTTACAAGTGCACAAAAACACATTGAAAACAACTTGGGCTTTTGAAGTCGCATGTGCATCTATGTTTAGCTATGAGACCATTTCACCTACATGTGTGGAGGTTTAGCTAAATTTTTGATCCTGCCACCAATACATGCTGGATAAGATTACGAGTAGTGTTAGGATTATTGATATGTGAGAATCCTTATAAATAATGAATTCATGCCTTCTACTGATGATTAGTCTCTTTTAATGCAAAATTAGAAAGTGCATTTTATTCATTCAAAACAATTATATAGGTGTCGCCAAAATCTGTAAATTTGCAAGAAATTTGGGAAAAAATAAACCCTCATATTGATTTTGAATTTACACCTCCGAAAGATAGGTGGCATGTAACAAAGTTGATTAAATATCAATTACGCTTGCCAAATGAATCAAAACACAATTAGATGAAAGGAGCAATGATATAAATTTTTAATTGGAATGTTTGAGCCTCAGGCTGGTACGATTTGAGAATCATTCTCAAAAAGTTGTTATCAAGATTTGCTCCAAATTCTATGAGCTCACATCTAAATAACACACATTGGTTTTAGAGAAAAACATGAACTTTGATTCAGTAATTTTTACGTAATAGATACCCATAAGGTCCTCTTTATAAATAATTTATCAAAACCCCTAAAATCTTGTCAAGAACAATAATTTTAATTTTAGTAATTTCTGATACTAACAAAACAAGTTTCCTGTTGCAATCTGAGCAAAAATTGCTATACTTGTTACCTAAGACAGTACTATTGGAGAAAACAAGGTGTCCAACCTTCCGTTACAGTCAGGAAACAGAGGGAAGGATGGATTCAGTTGCAACAAATAATGGTATAAAGCAATTATTAGAGTGCCCCACAAATCAGTGGCAATATCAACAATAGAATTAGTCAGAGGGCAGTGAAAATCTAGCAGCAAATCTTGAAGCACCAAACTAGCTACTGTGCAAGACAGCTACAATGGACTCCACCTGCAGTGCATAAATTAGGGAAGGGTGAAGTATTATGTGATCAGCTTGACCTCACCTAGAATGCAGCCGCAGGTCGATGAGTCATTGGCAGGGCATATCCATGTCACCCTTACTAGCCTACTCTTCGACCAATTCCACAAGATGTCCCTTGACTCTTAACAATGTAGCGCCAAGTTCACTGCTATCGGCATCCCGGCTGGACATGGTAGTGGACTGGGGACTCAACAAATCTCCCTACTTTGTGAATATTGCTTTTTTCTATATAAATTCAAGACGTGTGTTCTAATTAGAAAATTTTGTTGAGGCTACATTTTTGCCATCAACCAGCAAACTAAGCATTCTATTTTTCCTTTGCAATGCATGGAAACATGCTGGATAATGCTATGTAAGACTGTTGTTTACTGTTGTGGTTACGTGGTAGCATTTTTGGGAGTGAGTTTCTGTTTAAAAAGTTTTATTGTGTATGCTGTTAAGTCATCATTTATCTTTCGTCTTTTCTGTGGCTTCCAGCAATCCCACTTAGATGAAAGATGAAAATGTTTTTGAGATACTCTCTTTTTGTGCCTAATTATTTGTTGGTTGTATAGTGTTTCTGTATTTATGTTTGCATGCTATCTTCAGGTAATGCTTTCTCAGCATTAGGCAGGAAGGAGGACGCTTTGCATGTATGGGAGGAAGGCTATACGAAAAATGTTTATGAATCAACAGATATAAAGCAGTTGTTGATACTGGAAGAATTAGTGGAATCCGCAAAACAAAATTCAGCCCTTGCCAATGGATCTTATTCCAATGAATTTTCTAATGCCGTGAAAATAGAGGCTGAGGCTGAAGTAGTACCTACGGACTGTAAAAGTGATGCCATTGATTGCTCCGATGCGGTAACATGCAAGCTTGTTCCTGGTGGAGACTCTGCCTTAGACTCTCCAAATAACACTATTTTGTCTACTGATACCGAATCTAAAAGTCCGAGCAAAGCAAGGGATTCATCAGATATATGTATCCAACCTTGTGACGCTGCTGAGAAATATGGTAGATCAGATGAGACTACTAAAGTTAGCAACAAAATGTTTGTTGCTGGCAATACAATAAACTTGGATATTCGGTTGTCCCGAGGAATAGCACAGGTATGATTTTTCAAGTTGGACTTTTAATTTTTGATGGATGGTTATCATATATCTGGCTTTCAAATTTAAGTTGATGTATTGGTCAGTATATTGTCTTTATTTTACTGCAAGTAAAATTTCAAGAAAAAAAAAACCCTTAAATGATGCGGTAACCTTTGTGATCTTTTGCTTTTATTCTGCTTTTCTAGGCTTTATCAATTGACTTCGTTGTGATAACTTGTAACGATAAGGGTGGCACCCTTGTCTCACTGGTTAGGTATGCAATAGCTGAGAAACGTTGCTCAAGTTCAACTATTTCATTTCTTTCATTTCAGCTGTATTTCAGAGCAGGATAAGAAAAGGCTTACTGTTATGAATAACTTTTCTTTCTTTATGGCCACTAAATTCCTTTTTTTTAAGGAGAGAAATGACTTTAACTTGTAGTTTCACAAATATTACTATGTATGGATTCTAATTCTAGTGGGGATTTACTTGATATAAATGTAGGGTTTAAACTCAAAATTAGTTCTCCGATTATTCATATATAGCTAATTTAGCATCGGAGTGTCATATTTATTAAATTTAGTCCTTTGGTTGTATAAAATTAATCCAAAATAGTTTTTCCACAACTTAATTGAAATCACTCGTGTATAGTAAAAGCACTAAAATGGGATCAATTTTATACCATAATTTTTACGTGAGGGATCATTTTGGTTCAATTTTGTAAAGTTGAGGGATTAAAGTGGAGAAATGTAATACTTTGAGACTAAATTGGTCATAATCAAATACTACCATTTTTGGACTTAATTTACACTTGATGCCTTTTTACTAAATCATATGCCAATTTATTTAAGTTTCAGGGTATTGTTCTTTGAGATGTTGGTTTGCCTTCCAGCTCTGGATTTCTGCTACTAAGCTTGTGGACTCTTTTATTTTATTTTATTTTATCATTTGAAGACTAATCAAAGTTTCTTTCTAGCATGTGACTATTTAAGATGTTTTATTTTTCTGTTTTTGAGAATTTTTGGCTATTGTTTATTGTGTTTGGATACTGTTTTCTGTTTTATACTCTTCATAGCGATTTATCCTCTTTCTTCTAAAGTAGTGTGGTCGTATCTTTTTTAGGAACAGGTGGTAAATTCTCATTTTTATTCATAATACTCTACCATTTAGCCGTTTGACCATTTAACCATTGTTTTCATTCTCGAAAACCACTTAACTGCTCAAATATGCTGTCCAACGTTAGTTTTCACCTCCTCCATCTTACACCTTCTGCCAACCGTTGTTTGACAACATAAAATTGCTGTTTAATGCTTCAATTTACCAAAAGCAGAAAATTGTTGTTTAATGCTTCAGTTTACCGTCCAACCGCCGTTCATGCCATCTTTCAGCTAACATCCTTCCATTCGCTTTCCTTAACCATTATATAATATATTTATCCTTTTCTTGTGCTCTTTCACACCTCCTAGGAGCCCTAGAACCATGCCATTTGGTATCAAAGCCCGACAAATCTTAAAATTTAGGGGATTTGTGATTTGTAATAATGCTAAATTTTCTATCAGTTTAATACCCTTGCTATTCCACATTTCCTAGTAATAATGCTAAATTTTCAAAATCCAATATTCATACTTTCACCAAAAATTAATCCAGACACTACGACCAAATCCTAAGCCTTAGGCCAACCTTGATTTGCAATCCTATATCTGCCGATATATTGATTAGTAGAAAAAACACAATGATGCATATGAGAAACACTCAAAGAGGTGTTTAAGAATTTACTATGGAGAATATACTGCAAGAAATCCTCCTACTGTAACAAAGACTTGCCACTTTTAAGAGGAGACAACTCAGAGATATCACCCATTGCCACAACAAGAATTCGACGTGGAATATCATAGATGAGTAATTGAATGCCTTATACCAGAAAGTCTCCAGTGATGAATAATCAATACTCTGACGATTTGACATGGAATATCATAGAGGAGAAATTAGAATTTTGGAAGGAAGGCTGAGTTGCTGAATTTTGATTGCCACATGGATCCGGATGAAGTGTCAAGTGACTCCAGACAATGAACTGATCTTTGAGTACCAGGATGTTCCACCTAATATAAATGTCAAATTAGTTGCTATTAATTTAAGAAAGAGTGCTTTGTTATGGTGGGAGAACTTAAAAGATCTTCAACAGAGGGAATTAAAATGTAAAATCACTCTCTGGTCCAAGATGAAATTAGTGATGCAGTGCAAATACCTACCGACATATTACAGGCAAGACAAGTTCTTGAGACTTCAATATTTACAATTAAAAGATCTCTCATTAGAGGAGCATAAAATTTAGTTCAAGCAACTTATGTTGAAGTGTAAGCTAGTGGAGCCCTAGGAGAACACTATTACTTGATATATGGGGGGATTGAGGCACCCATTGACAACGTGCTATAGTTACAACCGCATTCGATCTTACAGGATATCCAGACTTATGCCCTGAAGGTGGAGATACAAGACAACCTTATTAAGTCCATATCACCGTTCAAACATGGTTTAATTATTGGATCGAGCACCATGAGTATAAAACATGACACTTAACCCGACTTGACTAAGTGCATTGGCTGCTGGAAAGATGCAATCTGAATTTTTGAAAATAAAAAAAAAATGTATAATAGCTATCACAACTTCTTGAACAAAAACTGCTTCTGCAGTTCAGATCTTTTTCTTCAAACAACTGCAGTTGCCCCAAACAGACCCTTAAACGAGAATGAGTCCAAAGAGTTGATACCAGACAGAGGATAACTTATGCTGAGAGTAGTCGAACATGAGCGAGTTCAAAGCTTGTTCGTGTTTAGCTGGTTTAAAATTTTTTTATGTTCAAAATGAGCTCGTGTTCAAAATAGCCCAGTTCTTGTTTGACTTGATTTAAATTTGGATATGTTCGAGTTAGCTCATATTCAACATGATTTTGAGCTTCTTAAACTTATTTATTTAATATATTTAATTTATTTTAACTCATCTTGGTAGAAATAAGCTTTTTATTTTAAAATAGTTCCAAAAAAACAAAAAACCTGAATTATTTTTCACTTTTTAATTGCAAAAAACTTTCATTTTTACATTTAAATAGAATTTTTTATAAGAATTGCTTCCTATTCGGACAAAGTGAGACTAGATATAAAACGGAAGTGGTGGAATTTTGGCAAGCTCGATAGAATTGTGGCTTTGTGGGGCCATTACATACATAACAATAAATTCTTACTTATTTATATATACTATTCAAAGCAGAACATAAGGCCTACTGCGTGCTTTTTGTGAGAAAAATCTCACTACATTACATATATACCACTCAATTTTATATATTTACATATATAATTCCTAAATAAGAAGAAGAGACCCGAGTACTCTATTTTAGAGAAACTTACATACATAACACCCATATCTTATTTATTTACATATCTAACACCTAAGCATATTTTTTATTATTATAACCAAAATAAATTTTAAAAATAATTAAATTTAGCATTTTCAGTACATATAAAAATTAATATAAAAAAGATATAAATAAATTATTTGAGCAAAAAAAAGCTGAAGACAAACGAACAAACTTTTACGTGTTTTGCTCGTTTATAAACCGAGCTAAAAAAAAATTATTTGTGTTTACTCTTTACATTACATACATGCTTCTCAATAAGACGCAATGGAGAAAAAAATTCATGTAGCTGACACCATTTAATGGAATAAAAACTTGTTGTTGTGTTTGAGTCGCTTACTTATTGAACGAATCAAACACAAGCTATATAATGGGCCAAACACGAGTTGTTCGCTAACGACGGGCTTTTTTGTCAGCCCTAACTGAGAGACTTGTCAGATATTTTGACTAAAGGTTTATCTCTTTGGTTGTCGCTACTAAGAGGAATCCAGTATGTCATAGATTACATTTCAGGGTTAGCTCTTCTAAATAGACTTATTTATTGGATGTGTTCAATCAAGTACGAAGAGAGAAATATGTTATAGACTTAATGAATCGAAACTTGATCATGAGAATGCTCATTTATGTGTAGTTTTAGTTTGCATGTGCCAAAGAAAGACGACTATTTATTCTATTAGAATAAACTTAGAAAAGTTGCCAGAGATGGACCTGATCATAAATTTTGCAGGATTGCTTCAAACATAAATCGATTCAAGAAGCTTCCAGTGAAGAAGAAAAAACCTACTCGGGGAGGATGAGGTGGGATGCACTTATGGGTTGCAAGATCACATTCTAGCAGAGTGCGGATGTGGGATTCTGCATTTTTCTACGATTGCGGGATTAGATCGCAAGTGATTCGCAGGAATTCCTATGCACAAGGAACCAATGCGAGATTCTATCTCGATAGACTTACGACGGGCCTCCCTTTTAGGAATTTTGCTGTCAGGCCCGCTGGCAATTTTATTTTATTATTTGAAGGTTAGTTAGGGTTTCTTTTTAGTATGTGACTATTTTATATGTTTTATTTTTCTATTTTGAGGACTTTTGACTATTGTTGTTGTGTTTGTAAACTTTTTCTCTATTTTATGCTCTCCTGAGTCTTATATCTTCTTCCTCTTGTAACTAGGGCGTCAATATCTTGTTCAGGAACAAGTGGTGGATCCTTCTCATCATCCATAACACACCATTTCATCGTTTGACTATTGTTTTTAATCCGTCCAGCCGTCGAACTGCTTGAATATGCTTTCCAAGAACAATTTACTTTAAATTTGTCTAACAAAGCAGATATCTTATAATCAAACTTTATCATGTCGTAGAGTTAGCCGAAATTTTCAAAATCCTCATCAAACTTCATGCACTTAGTTTGTGTTGCTCTTATGCACTTTGATTCAAGTGTCATGATCTGACCTGATAGCTTAGAATTAACTAAGTCAGGAACCGCAATCGATCGATATTCACATTTCATTTTCTTTTCACATATTTTTCAGAAACTTTCAATATATAAAAAAGCCATTAATAATCCACAAATACACATAAGAAAATTTAAATCATCTAGTAATAAGAGAAATCT